CTGATTACATTGCAACCATCGTAATATATGCAATTCCTTTCATTAATTATTAGTGTTCAAGCGGCTAGCATTACTTCTTCTTTTTTTGAAAATAGCTAGCATTACTTCTATGCACAAGTTTATAATTAAGAAACAAAATCACATATTAGCATTATAACTAACAATGAAAAAATGTATACTTGATCAATGTTTTCAATTTTATCTATATGTTTCTTTTATAACGTTGTTTAGAGATATTATTTTCGATGGTGTAGTGTCGTCTGCCAAATTTATATTCACCGTCATCTTCGGTAGGACGTTCATGTGTGCTAATAAGAGGTTTGCATTGATATATTCATCAATCGAGAATATGATTTTCATCTACGATGATATTGTAACGAATCACCCCCTCCTGAACCACCGTTGTTCCAAGAAGTTGAGATCACATGGACTGGTTTCTTTCCGGTTGCTGGCAGAAGCGGAATAAATTTTACACTTGGCTCCTTGCTGGTGGCTGGACAAATCGGGATGTTTAATACGAAGTAGTTTGTTTGAGAATTATATATTGTGATCGTAGCAGGAGCCGTCGACCTGAATGTAGAGTCTATTTCTTTACGAGATTAGCGATTCAGCTTTTTCAATTTGAATCGTCTGTTTATATGTCTCATCTCATTGTAGCTTTGAGTTATATGATTGTAGTTGTTATTGGGCATTTTCCCGATCGCGCAACGCGCGTCACGTAACTAGTCATCAACATAAGCCTCCATTGTGACTCCTAACACTTCTTTGAACAGCATCCCGATCATCCTCTGAAAAGTTGCCATTGCGTTCTTTAATCCGAATGGCATGACAATATAACAAAACACACCATCTGAAGTAACGAACGCTGTTTTCTCTGCATCAGCTGGGTGCATGAAGATCTGATGGTATCCCCGGAATGCATCCATGAAGCTCAACAATTCACATCCGGCCGTTTCATCTACTAACAGATCGATCATCGACACTGGATAAGGGTCCATGGGACAAGCTTTATTCAGATCCGAGTAATCCACGCACATCCTCCAAGTAGATTGTTTTGGAGCTAGGACCACATTCGATAGCCATTCGACATGGATTACCGAACGGATGTGTTTTATTCTCAGCAAGGTGGCCACTTCCTGCTTTGTGAATTCCCGCCGTTCGGTTGCTTGATATCGTTTCTTTTGCTGGACTGATTTTGCATCACGCCGAACGGCAAGCTTGTGACAGATTATCTCCGGATCAATACCTGGCATATCTTCTGGCCCCCGGACGAATAATACCTGAAACTTTTTTAGGACGGCAATCACGCCATCCCGGATGTCAGCCTCCAGATCTACCCCGATAGCTACCTTACGGTTCGGGGGGAAATCCAGGTCAATTTGCTCGAGGAGAGTGATAGGTTCTGGATGTGCCTCGAACTCCGTTCGGTGGGTCTCCACCTCAATACTATTAACCCGCATTCCACAGGTGTTCATCTGCTTCAGGGCCTCTCGGTAGCATGTCTGGGCTGTCGCCGGATCAGTTCTGGCCACCCCAACCCCGGTATCAGTGGGGAACTTGATGCACGAGTGGCGGACAGAGGCTATTGCCTCCAGATCTTCCAATCCTGGTCGGCCCAAGATGGCATTATGGGCACATTTTATATCCACCACCACGAACGTCATTCGGAGTGATGCTTTGTGCGTTTCGTCCCCAATTTCAACCAACAATTGGATGGTCCCCTCAGCCTCAATACAATTACCGGTGAAGCTTGCCAGTGGGGTTCTTAGGTGGGTCAATTGACTTCTTTGTAGACCCATTTTCTCGAATGATTGTAAATACAATACATTCACACTGCTCCTGGTATCGATCAGTACTCGGCGGATCAAAGCATTGTCAATGCACATGCTCACCACCAATTCATCCCTGTGCGGACTTGGGGAGTTGGGTAAATCAGCTGGCCCGAACGTGATCGGGTCCGTCCTTCCTTTCTTCTGGGGGGAGTGGAGATGGATCCCACATAAAGACTTCGCTCGAACCTTTTCCGTTCGGCGTTCGAATCCCCTGTATCCCCGCCCCCAAATATAACCTTGACCTCCTGAGCCCTCTGGTTCATCCCTGGGGGGAATATATACGTCATTCTGAGGCTGGGCATCACGTTGGGCATCCCGTCGCTAGCTATTGGGTTTCCTGATCGGTTTCAAAGTGCCTACCGCACTTGGATCCTTATTCACATACTTGCCCAGATGACCCCGTCGGATCAAGTCCTCAATGACCGTTTGTAGGGCCCTACAGGCATTGGTGGCATGACCTTTCCTGTTATGATATTTACAAAAAGCAGACTCGTCTGCTCCCATAAATTGTGAAGAATCAGTCGGAAAGGGAATATTGTCCCTCTCGTTCTGATAAATGGTTGCCACGGATAAGACTGGGGGGGTAAATCTCCCTTGCATGGGAGGTATAGCGGCCACTGGGCTAGGACCCAGCCGATGGGCCATCTTGATTGGGGCAGTATGCGCAACGACCTTATCCCTGATCATTATCTCCTCTTCCAGGGCAGCATGCTTGCGAGCTCTGTCTAATACCTCAGCATACGCTGTACCTGGATTCTTCTTCAAATCCTTGTATAACTCTCCCGTTCGGAGAGCGTTCGTGAATAGGGTGATGGCTGTATCATCCGTCATATTTCCCACTGTCAGAGTTTCGTCCCTCCATCTTTTTAAGAATTGATTGAGGGTTTCCTTGGAGTTCTGCTTCACGCTGGTCAGGTAGCTGCAATGCCGTTTCGGATTGGCACTGGAAGCAAATTGGGCCAAGAATAACGTTGATAATTCGGCGAAACTGTTGATCGACCCGGGTTGCAGTGTCCCGAACCACTCCTGGGCGGGTCCTCCGAGCGTACTAAAAAACAACCGGCAAATAACAGACTCGGGTGCTCCTAGTAGCATGAGTCCCCCTTGGTAACTCCTCAAATGCACATGGGGATCTCCCACCCCGTCATAGATTTGACCGGTCGGTGGTTTGGCACCTCCTTGGATGTCCGCATACATAATTTCCCTGGTGAAAGGGGAAGTAATCCCGAGCTGAATTGGGGCAGGTTGTACATGCGCCCTGTTAATCTGATCTCGCATCTCGTTCATCTGCCTCCTCATCTCAGCCATTTCTTCCTCCTGGGCCGTCAAAGGGGCGGTGGTGGAGCCCTCAAATCTGTATACTCCCGGTCCCAATGCCTTTGAGCGGCCCTGGTATTATCCCGTTCGGCGTACTGGAAATGACGACCAATAGGAGTTGGTCCCCTGGCTTGTGATCCGACCGGGGTTCGGTCACTGGGACTATGATGCGCGGTTGGTGGAGTGCCACGGCGATTATCCCGATGGGCATGCGAGCGGGATGACGCTGTGGTCGTTTCCGTGCGTGGAGTTTCCCCTGTAAAATTGGACCCTCCTTCCTCCTCGTTTGCGATATGCTGCATGACCTGGGCCATATCTCGCATGGCTTGAGGATTTCTCCTTAAAGCTTCAGGAATCACAAAATCCCCATCAAAACGAGGATATGATCCTCGGCTGGATTGTCCCTGAGGGGTTTGATTTCCCGGGGTGTGACTCCTTCCGTGACGGCGTGAACCGTCGTTTGTGTGATAGGAACTGATTCTGACCATTTTCAAAAATAGTTTGTTTTGGAATAATTGAATGTGAAACTTTTTGAACAGTTTCCCACAGACGGCGCCAATGTTGAAGGTAAGTCCCGTAGATCCGAAAGCCCAACACGAACTTTGGATATATCAGGAATGGACCAGAATCAAAGTGTATAATCAAATATAAAATATGAACTCACTAATACTCAAAAGCTCACTTGTATTAATTAACCTGTCTGATTACAAGGAAATTCCCGATCGGTAACTCGGAATAATGCTTTAATACAAGAAACAAGAGTAATAACGCTATTCTAGAGCCTGAGTATTGAAATGCTAACCCTTACAATGATTTTAAACCTTCTATTTATACTAATGGAGAGCATGAGCTGCTCTATGCTGATTGACTGTTGTTCCACCGACTTGGTCACCCATGTTTCCACTTGCTGATGTCACAATCTGGCATTAATTACACCTGGCCACTTGCTGGTTGTCCGTTGCTCGAACGGAATGTTGGACCATGCTGAAGACGCTGTCAAATTGGCCCAAGTATGATATATAGTCCGAACTCCGTTCGGTATATCTTCTTTCTGGGTCGGCCCTTACTTGGGCCGAACCTCGTTCGGCGTGAATTCTTCGCTGGCTCTACTCATCATAGAGTGATGAGCTCGTTGTTTGGACCGGGTATCTTGGGCCTTTTTAATCCGGGTATTGGGCCTCTGGATCAATATCCCAACAATGATAAATTGTTTTATATTTTAAAAATTAATTTTAAATACAACTTTCATTGAACTTAATAGGTATATTAAATTTAATTTAACAAATATTAACGTGAGTGGGTATATAGTGAGAATGATCAAAACTTAGGGGGAAACTAATTGATTTTTGAAAATGCAAGGTTGGATTAATAATTATGATATGACCTCAGGGGTCCAATAATAATTTTCCCTTATTATTATTATAAAAATTATTATTATATTATTGTCATTGTTGCTATCATAATTATTAATATTAATATTATTATTACTATTATTTTTTTTATTATTATTATTATTATTATTATTATTATTATTATTATCATCATCATCATCATCATCATTCAGAGAGTCCTATGTACCGGCAACATCATTAAAAATCGGTTAGTGGCTTTTGGATAAGCATCATTGAAAATAGAGTTTTGGATAATCATAAAAAATACACGCCTTAATTTTAGGAATTCCAATACATTAATGATATTAGTTTTTTTTGTTAACCAATAAGAAGTTAACACATCAACCATTTATAACTCAGTTTTACTATATAAAACAATAGATAGTGCGAAATAGTGTCAAACATTTTCAAACAATGTCACAACAGTGTACTCTACAGTAAAGTCAAATTTATTTCCTTAATTTATGTCAAGTCAAAGCGTGAATTTCATTTGGGACCGGGATATATAAATAGATTCGAGTGCTTATTTGAATTTTGTCTTCAATTGGTTTTTGAATGGCGTCTTCAAATTTTTTGAAAAATGTTGCTCACCAAAAATTCTGGATCAAGGGAAGGTGAGTGTAGTCCAATGGATGACCATCCACCTCCAAGTCTCTCCTTTGTGGGAGGTCTTGAGTTCAATTCCCACCAAGGGGAGATGAGAGAGGTCTTGCTCCCAATGATTCTTCCTACCTTCACGGAGTTGCTCATCTGTTGAGAAGGGAGATGATGATAATGAAGGTAGCGCGTTCGTGTGGTGGGAGGAGCAGCCTGAAAGGTAGCGGGTTCGTGTCGGCGAGACTGACTGTGATCATATCCGGATTTAACTGTCTAGGAGCTTTGGAGGGTAGTTCATAGACTCCAGGATTATGAGAGCGTAAGGCTCGACACCTGAATTATCGGAAAAAAAATCTGGGTTAACACATGCGGACGTGTAAACTTCTGCACCACACTCTCCACAGAGTTCTAAAAAATCTGGAACTCCCTTCACCATTTCTCATTCTTCGACTGAACTCGCAATTCAAGTATGGGCCCCTTCAATTATTCGTTTTTTCCCTAAATTCAAATCATCCATGTCCGTTTTCTGATTTTTGACTTTTACCTTATTTTTTTTTAGTAACTCTTCTTCTTCTTCGCTCCAATGGCTTTGCCTCAGCAGCTCTTGCATCCCTATTCTTCATCGGTAATCTCGCACAAACCCTACTTAAATCCTTGTAAATATCTCCTTGGATCACCATCTCTCCTCCGTCGCGGCCACCAGCGGCGGGGCAACGCCAATTCTCTCCGCTGCTCCGCTTCTTCATCCTCCGAGATTCACCACGCTGGCTCCCCCAAATCGGACGACGTAACTGAACTCCCGCTTTTCCCTTTACCATTGGTGCTCTTCCCCGGTTCTGTTATCCCTCTCCAGATCTTCGAATTCCGCTACCGAATCATGATGCACACTCTGCTGCAGACCGATCTCAGATTCGGAGTGATCTACTCCGACAGCGCGACCGGCGCCGCGGATGTGGGCTGTGTCGGAGAAGTCGTGAAGCACGAGCGGCTCGTGGACGACCGCTTCTTCCTAATCTGCAAAGGGCAGGAACGATTCCGGGTCACGGATCTGGTACAGACGAAACCCTACCTGGTGGCGGAGGTGACGTGGCTTGAGGACCGGCCGTCGGCGAACGGAGAAGAGGATCTAGAGTTGCTGGCGAACCAAGTCGAAACATACATGAAAGACGTGATTCGATTGTCGAACAGATTGAATGGGAAGCAGGAGAAGGAGGCGCAGGATCTGAGGCGGAATCTGTTCCCGACTCCGTTCTCGTTCTTCGTCGGAAGTACGTTCGAAGGAGCGCCTAGAGAACAGCAGGCGTTGCTGGAACTGGAAGATACAGGTGTGAGGCTAAGAAGGGAGATGGAGACATTGCGGAACACTTTGAATTACTTGTCAGCCGCTTCTGCTGTGAACGATGTGTTCCCTTCCTCTTCCTCTCCATTAGAATGAATGACTTAAAGTAAGCATAAGAATAGGGTTTGTTTAATGATTTCTCTGTATAACCTAATGAATTTATGTATCTGTAAATTGATGAACTTTGTAAGGATTTATAACTTAATATGGTTTATAACTTTCAATTTCTTCAGCCTCTTGTTTTTTCCAGGCATTGATTGATCAATCGGTCAAAGTTCATATTACTTCAGATGTAAGTTCTTATCTGCCGGGTGCATAGGCTATGGAGTATTGAGCCACTGGAAATGATATCCTCTCCCGTATGGGAATGGACTAACACATCCAAACTATTAATGTTTTGATCGAGTGGCTAAATTTTTCGGGGCATCCTACCATGTTTTGGTATCCGAGCAGGGATCTGGTGTCTCCGTTTCAAGAATCTCGAGGCCCTTCTTTCAATCTTTGCCCTCCATTTGACCATTTACGCAAGGCACCCTGCATTCAAGGCTCAAGCAGAGGATCCCAGTCTGCCAGGCAGAGCCGAAATCGGAGTAACCACAATGCACCATTCCACAACCAATTTCCATGAAATGTGAAATGATTATTATATCTACACCCGATGAGGTTCCAATTTTGCATGACTGATTATGGGTTGGAACTAACCTGGTTTATCAGTTTCAATTTTGGGTTTTGGGTCGTTTCTGGTTCAATTGGTTCCATTACCAGTTGATTCAGCTGGTTGCTGACATGGTTTTGGATCACTTCCGTTAGCATTCCTGCCTGAAACCGGAAACTACATTTCGTTGCTAAGCAAAGTCAGCCCTCTCCTCTCCGTTTATTCGGTAGGATCTATAGAAGAATGTTATGAGCCTTTTCTTTGAGGAAGTTCCACACTTCCATATAAATAATTCATCACCCTTACTGTATTGATAAGAACAAATTCATACAAGCCTTCTGTTGGAACTTGGGAATTTGAAAAAGGTTACATGAACATATTAGAGTAAAATCATAAATGATCCTTGAACTATCATCACCTTATCATTTTGGTTAGTGGTGGACTTGGTTCGGGCTGGGCCCGGTTCGGGTCTAGAACCGGCCGGGCCTCAGTTCTAGGAAGGCAGGCCCGAAACCGGCCCGGATAATCCCGGGTCCGGTTCGGTTCGGGTCACCCGCCTGGTTCACGGGCCGGGCCGCCCGGCGGGCCGGGCCTATTTAATTTTTTTAAAATATTATATAATTAGAATAATTCTTATTACAATTACAATATATTATATTCGAATTGAAGTATATTTATTTCAAATAAGAAGTACAATTGAGAATTAGGATGAATTTAAAAAATGTAATACATTTTGTAATAAAAAATCAATCGGACTCTCCGCCTTCGGTTGTTTCCTCCATAAAGTGGCGGGAGGGAGTGATGGTAATTTCTTGAGTTCTTCGTTGGGTCTTCAACTAATCGTGAAAGCAAACTAGTGTTTCAAGAGAACTCGGGCTCAACCTCGTTCTATAATCGGTTAGGACGTTGCCGGCCGCACTGAATTCTTGTTCCACGGCAACGGTTGATATCGGCATTGCTAGTACTTGCTTAGCCATCTTTGATAAAATCGGGAATGTTCTTTCATTTTCCTTCCACCACTTAAGAACGTCAAAGTCATCACCAACTTCATAATCAACATTCAATGTTAGATACAAAGAAAGCTCGTTACCTGAGCTTTGTTCAATAGCGGGAGTTGCTCTACTTTTTTTCAAAAGAGAACCAAAAGCGGATTTTAAAAGTGATTTTCCTTTAGATGAAGAAGATGTTCGTTGCATGGGAGGGGGTGCATTGCCATATTGTGCATGAAATTCATTATACAATTGATTTAAATAAATTACTAACCTCGTTGAATTCTTGTTTAGGGTCGATGGGATTATCATCGAACTCTTGAGTTGGAAAAAAAGAAGCATAATAGTAATCTATACAATTTGCCAAGTAAGGAAGTTTATAACGAGGATCAAGAACAAATGCAATACCATATATATGCGGAATATGTGAATAATATTTTAAAAACTTTTGTTTCATGAAATCACAAAAATAACTAACGTAAGTGGCGTTGGAAAATTCACAAAAAGCGCCGGCGAGATTAACAGCTTCAACAAAAAATTCGTTTGCGGTAGGTTTATAAACATGACTAAAACTTAGAGTTGCGTTATTAAAATATGCCAAAACATTAACAATTTTTTCACAAGTGTCGATGTCAGCCGGGGTTTATAATATCGTTACAAGTTTGTCTTAAAAAAGCTGGAAAATGATCTTTATATCTAACAAGTACTTGAATTAAATTATAAGTACTATTCCAACGAATAGACAAATCTTTAGGAAAAGCACAATAATTCACACGTCTATCCTTCAAATATTGCCGCCATTGCATTTTTAGTGGAGTGTTAGCCCAAATCAATTTAATTCCCCCCTTGACTACCTCCAAAGCATTTCCTAATGCCGCTCAGCCATCTTGTACACACAAATTTAGAATATGACATGCACAACGTTGATGAAAAAATCTACCCATCAATGTAGAAGCACCACACAATTCACGTAATCTAGGTATAGCAGCAGTATTATTACTAGCATTATCAAAACCTACAGCAAACACCTTATCAATCAAATTATACTCAAGTAAAATACGTTCAATGAGAATATAAATATTATCAGCAGTGTGACGATCATTGAATTCACGAAAAGCAAGAACACGTTTATGCATATTCCAATGATCATTAACTAATTAACTAATATGAGAAATGTAAAATGTAGCAATTAACTAATTAACTAATATGAGAAATGTACAAATGTAGCAATTAACTAATATGAGAAATGTAAAAATGTAGCAATTAACTAATTAACTAATATGAGAAATGTAAAAATGTAGCAATTAACTAATATGAGAAATGTAAAAATGTAGCAATTAACTAATTAACTAATATGAGAAATGTAAAATTGTAGCAATTAACTAATTAACTAATATGAGAAATGTAAAAATTAACTAGTTTTTTTACTTTAATGAGATATGTAGCAATTAACTAATATGAGAAATGTAAAAATGTAGCAATTAACTAATTAACTAATATGAGAAATGTAACAATTAAGTAGTTTAACTAATATTAATATGACAAATGAAACAATTAACTTTAACTACTTTAACTAATATTAATATGACAAATGAAACAATTAAGTAATTAAATAGATAAACGAGAAGTGTATATATAAATTAAGTAATTTATATATATATATAGTATATATAAATATATAATGTGTAAATATATTATAAGTAATATATAATATAATGTATAACTATATATAATATATATAAATATATAATGTGTAAATATATTATAAGTAATATATAATATAATGTATAACAATATATAGTATATAATATAATGCGTAAAGAATTATAATATGAATGTGTATAAGTATATATTTATAAGTAGATAATTAATATTATAATATATAAGTAGATATAATAATTATATAAATTATATATATGTAGAAAGAATTTGGAGAAGATGAAGAATGAAGATGATTGAATATGAGAGACTGAGAGAATAGAGAATTTAGAGTGTAGGAAGAGTTGTAGAAGAAGGTGTAAAAAATGTATAGAAAATAGGAGTATAAATAGGTTTTTTTTGTATACCCCACCCCCACCCCCACCCCACCCCCCTAACCCCCCAGACCCCCCCTCCTATGCTCCCAACGGCTATAGAGCCGTTTGGGAGGTCTCCCAACGGCTAGTAGAGCCTTCAATTTTTTTTTTTTTTTTTTTTGTGACCGTTGAGGCCCGGACCGGGCCCGGCCCGGCCGGGCCGGTTCACCAAAATATCAGCCCGGGCCCGAACCGCTACATGACCGGGCCGGGTGGCCCGAACCGTGACCTAACCGACAAACCGAGCCGGTCCAGGCCCGCACAGTAGCGGGCCGGTCCGGTTCCGGGCCGGTTGGCCCGGCCCGAGTCTTCTCCTAATTTTGGTCATCGAACTATTAAATCTATCATTTTAGTCCTTAATCTATTTGATCTATATTAATCGAGTTCTTCCGTTAGATTTGTCGTTAGATTTGACGGAAGCTATTTAATTTATTAATATCTCATAATTTTAAACATTTTGAAATAATACATTCACTTAAAATTTAAGTAGACAATCTCGTTTTTTTATTAAATATACATATATGTACACATACACATATAAAAATTATAAATAATATAAAATCAAATATACGGCCTAAATAATATGTAGTATACAAGAGAGAATCAAATAGTCAATTATATATACTATCCTCCGTATCGCATTAGTTGCAAGTTGCAACATTGGAATATATGCACTATTCATGTACTCAACTTTGACTACATTTTATTTATTAATGTATGTGAATTATTTTTTTGAAAAATATTGTTAAATATGTCTCATTACTAAGTTTTATAATCTGATTTTTATTTTATTTTTACTAATACAGAATTAAATATAATGACGGTCAAAGTTGTGCGTTGGAAAACGTGAAAAAGGGAATGTTGCAACTAAAAAGAGACGGAGGAAGTATATGAGCATATAAAATTAAATAAGAAAATGAGGTGATTGTTATTATTATTATTGTTCTTTCATCGTAGGGGTGGATTCGGTTCGGGCCACCTGGCCCGTGACCCGGCCCGGCCCAGTACTGTGCGGGCCCGGGACCGGCCCGGTCGGGCGGTCCGGGACCGGGTGTGGACCCGAACCGGTGGGAATGGGCGGGGCGGGCACGGTGCCGGATAAATGTGACCCGGTCCGGGTCCGGGCGGTCTGATTTTAAAAAAAAAATTGAATTGGGCTACTAGCCGTTGGGGGTGGGCTGGGGACAACCCAAATGGCTATATAGCCATTGGGTGGGGTGCAGGGGGTCCGGGGGGTTGGGTGGTGGGGGTGGTGGTGGGGGGGTGGGGGGTATAAAAACCTATAAATACTCCTAATTTTAAACATTTTTTCATATCTCTTCTCCGATTCTTCCTAAATCCTATTCTTAACTCTCTACTCTCTAATTCTCTTATTCTCCAATATATTATATTTATTATTTATATATCTACTTTATAGTTTATACTTAAGAAGTTAAGATGGAAAATCAAGATGCCATTATACGGTATAATTTTGATAAGCAGAAGGATCCGAAGACCGGGATGTGGTACGCAATTTGCAAATGGTGCGAGAAAAAATGTAGCATGGGGGTTTCAGGAGGATACGGGATGGCAATCAAGCATATGAAGTCATGTGACAAAGCCAAAGGATCGGGAGGTGCGGGAAGTTCCGATTGATTACAATTTTCAAAATGTTTATCTCTTTAAGTTTTTTTTAATTTTCAAATGTAGTTCCTATTTCATTTCAAATAAATGCACTTGAAGTTTGTTTTTAATACTCGTATAAAACTATAAACTTTAAAATATAAATTATTAAAAAAAAAATTAACCGGCCCGGCCCGAACCGGACCCGACCCGTGACCCGGGCGGGTGGCCCGGCCCGAACTGGACCCGTCCAACCCTCGGGCCGGTCCCGGGCCCATGTCATACAAACCGGCGGCCCGACCGGGCCCGACCCGGCCCGAGTCCATCAATATTTCATCGTTCTTTCTTCTTCTTCAATTTATTTTCTTTGTATTCCTCTTCTTTGAAGGGATTTCTATTTTCACAAGCAGCCTTACAAATTTTACTCATAGAGAGGTTAGAGGGTTGAGAAGGAGTTGGTTGTCTTCTGCGTGAGCCTTGCTGCCCGATTCTGTAGCTTCTCTTCTTCCCTCCGTCCACTAGGCTAAAATAAAGACAAGGAGGCGGCTTTCTAGGCGGCTTTATGTTAGGGTATGGATGGACCCGGGCCGGGCCGGTTCCGGGACGGGCCCGGGCGGGCTTTTTTTTGCAATTCCTTGGGCCCGGAACCGGCCCGGGTTGCTACCGGGTCCGGGCCCGATTCAATACTTAATTTTTTTTTTTGCTTTCTTGTTATCCCCCGACCCCACACCCCCAAACCTCCCCAAAACACCCGGCCCAACCCTAGGAAAAGAAAAAAAATTGAAAACACAAAAACAAAAAAATGACCCGGGCCCGGGCCGAACCGCCCGGGCCGGTTCACCCAAAACTGGCCCCGAGCTCGGCCCGCCCGACCCGCCCACACGGGCTAAAAGCCCGGAACCGGCCAACCGGGCTCGATACGGTCCGGGCCCACACAGTAGCGGGTCGGTCCGGTTCCGGACCGGTTCGGCCCGACCCAATCCATCCCTATGTTAGGGAAGACAAGTTGAAGTACGGATTTGACACTTTTCTCGAATTTAATTAGCCAATGGTTACTGCAACAATAACAAACATTTTAAAAAACGAAAAAAACAGAGTTGCCAAACATCTTTGATTTTGATCATTAAGAGTATAGCCAAGCAAATGTTAAAGTTATGCCCACCCCGACCCGACAGGATGGTGGAGAAGTTAGTCACGGTGAACCAGTCAGCAGAATGGCAGTAGGCCCATACACTCGTGCGCACAAGAGGCCCAGCCCTATATCATGTTCTGTGACCTCCATCCGGTCGCTGCAGGGATTCGAACCTTGGTCCATTGATCCAAATCTCTCACCACTCGACCAACTGAGCTACACGAGCGGGTATTGGTGGACATAACTTAACTGGTAGATAGAGCTGCCACAAAGGGTAAGTTTCGGGTTCGAATCCCGGCAACTACGATGAGAGATTGTTATGTTAAAAATGCATACGGCCTCTGCAGGTATCAAAGCCAGAAACTCACTCTCTATCTATCAGCTTATGATTAAAATCCAACTTACATTCTCTGATGTAACTGTCCGATTGGTGTTGGGGCTCTCAATTGCATGATTTCTATTTAGCGATCGAGTAGAAACATCACTATCATACTATGAAATTTACTCAATTTTTTTTTTAAAACCTTGTCGCCCTCAGATTTAATTTATGTAATCATCATAATTATTAGTTACTCCGTAGTTTTCCGCATGTAACCTCGCATTTAATGGTTTAACCTGACCCTAATTAATAGTAATGATAGTAAATTAGTATTAATATTAGTAATGATTAATTATTATGTAATTATAAATTACTTAATTATTATTAATAACTTAAAAGTAATACTGCATACGGAAAGTAATCTTTTTCTGATTTTTTGATATTTATTTACACCAAAAGTCTGTAGAAGCAGTCAACAAAGAAACTAAAGAATCTATTTCACATGATATGGAGTAATAATAGTGTCGAATGCATGCATCTATTCATAGCTAATATCCATCATACAAACTTCACAATATATGTGTAGCCCGTTTGGTAACACAAAAAGTGGCTGTATTGGTTGATTCTGCTGATTCATAAAAAAATTATATTTAAAATATTTGTTATTAATAAATTAAAAAAAAATTATATGAAAAATAGCTAAAATGATCATCTACGGTGACTTCAGCCAATACAACCCGAAAAGTAATTCCAACCTTAATTTTTCTGTTTATTACAAAATTCAGCGCGCGAAATCAAAAGTTACGTGTTTGGTGAAAATGTTGATTGATAAGCCTGATAAGCCGAAAAAAGGGATCACCAAACGGGATCTAAAGCTCTTTAAACATTTTAAAAATAGAATTAGGAAACTGGCTGAATTGGCTGATTAATTGAAAAATTATATTTAAAATATTTTTTATTAATAATTAAAATAAAAAACTATATCAAAAATAGCTAAAATGATCATGTACAGTAACTTCAGCCAATACAGCCTGAAAAGTAATTTCATCCTTACGTTTTCTTATTATTACACAATTCAGCGTGCAAAATAAAAAATTACGTGTTTGATGAAAAAACTGACTGATTAGCCTGATAAGCCAAAAAAAGGGGTCGCCAAACGGGCTCTAAGTATGCCCCTATAACATTTTTGGTCTTGAAACATTAAGAGGCCGTTTGGCAACCCTCATTTTCGGCTTATCAGTCTTATTAGCCAACTTTTTTACCAAACACGTAAATTTTGCTTTCGCGCGCTGAATTGTGTAATAAACCGAAAAAGTAAGGTTGAAGTTACTTTTCTGGCTGTATTGGCTGAAGTTACTGTAAATGATCATTTTAGCTATTTTTACATATAATTTTTTCTTTATTTTATTAATAAAATATATTTTAAAAACATTTTTTTTCTTGTATCAGCAGAATCAGCCAATGCAGTCACTTCAGCCAAAACTTCATAAATTTCAGCAGAATCAGCCAAAACAGCCTATTTTCGTGCTACCAAACGGGCTCTAAATCATTAAAATCTCTAGTTAGATTGAATGAATCATTTATATTCTCGAGAAAAATAATAACACTTGGATTTGAGGAAATGTTTTAATTTTACAGAAGCACGGAGTAAAACTTAATTAACCTAACATCGTCGTTAGATTTATATCCTTCCTTTTTTGTTCGTAAAACTTAACCTAATGGCGTCGTTAGTAAAAACAGTGCTCCCTTAATCTAACAACGCCACTGAAGAATTTTTTGAAGCAATTTGTACAATTTATTTATGATTTAGTCCTATTTGAAGCAAATTCTTTATACTAAAACCAACAATGAACGACAATACTCCAAAGCAACAAAAAATAATAGAGATGACATGGAATTGAACGGCATCAACTAAAAATTAATTAAAGGCCGGTGGTACACACTAACACACACATTAAGCCTATCGTTCTTCAATTCCGAATTATATAACATATTTATATATTTTCATCAATTACTTCGTAAGAAATAAAAGTGATCGAGGCCACGTAGGTAGTGGTTTATTTAGTAATTAATTTAAACATTTTCCGTCGCTGGCTGAAGCAGTGGCTTGCGAAGAGATGATTTGATTGTTTGGTTATCCGCGGCGGCGGCCAGGGACGGCTGCACCGGGCTGACGACGGCGGCGCCTTTCATAAACTTTGCTTCTTCATTTTTGCCCCACAAGACAAAGTATAAGCCGATTATGATCAAAACAGCTCCAATAATCCTGGACCAATATGTATACATACATTAATTAATTTAATACGAGTACATAAAGAGTACAAGTTACCCATTACTCCGTATATAATAAGTACATGTTTCTTATTATTATATTATTATTATGGAAAACGCTATCAATACACATAAGTTATACTCATTTTGTGTAAATCTCTCTATTTGCTTGTGTACACAAGCAAATTATTCTAAAGCTATCTGTGTGCACCGATAATTAGAAGAGTGTACACAAAATGAGTACAAACATATGTGTACATCAAGAATGATCCATATGACGTGATATCTCTACTTCAAAATAATTTGTAAAAAGGTATTATAAAGATTGTATTAAATTGTAAAACGATTCAAGTATAAAAAAACAAAAATTCAAAAACAATGACTAAAACAGAACTTTGTCCATCCAAAAATAATGCTAACCATTTTGAGACTTAGACTATGTTTGGCAAAATCAGCTGAATATTCAGTAATGCTTTGATACCAGAGACTAATTTTGTTAATTCATTAATGGCCAAAATCAACTAAATTTGACTCTAAAATTAAAGGTATAATTTTAAAAGTGGAAACAATATCAGTCACACAATTAAAACAACAAACTAGATGAATATTTAAAACATCATCTCCAAAATAACAGGTAATAAAGGAACATTTATTTAATTTGTAATATTGAAAAAGCCACAATCAAAGAAATTTGTTGCCAAAAATTAAAATTAAAATTTGATTTTGGAATGTAGGACTACATGTACCATATGTCAAGGAGTTCAACTCAAAAGAAACACAACATGTTAAGGTGGTTGGGCGGGGTGTACGTCTTAGGTAGAATACAAACGAATGAGTCCACAGACAAAAATACTTATTTAATGCATGCATGGCTCCACATACGTAAAAGAAATATCATAATGTTATGCGTGCGGCGGCAGTGTGGGAAACAAGCTAGCTCCCACTGTTTCTATGTAATCAATACTATAATTACATACAAAGCACACTTTTAATTCACACTTTTTGATCAGTGTGAATTAGTACTTTTAAAGAAATTACTCAAAGAAGAATAAAACATATACACTATTGTAGAAATTGACTAAATATATTTTCATTGCAAAATAAGATTTAGAAATTATTCCAAATAGGACTAAAACTATGGCAAAAACTCAAAATAGGGCTTACTATGAGTTAATTAAATGTTTAATTCATAATAAATTCGAAAAAAATAAAAAATTCGCAGAACAATAATTAAAAAATTTATAAAATATTTACAAAATAAAAAATTCAAAAAAAAAATATTTTTTTAAATTAATAAAAAATAGTAAAACTCCATAAAAAATTAAAAAAAATATGGATGCCTTTCCCACCGCCTATACTACCTCCCTGCACCACCATTTCCGGCCGGTGAAAAAATGTCATTTTTCCTAAAACCTATCATTTCTTTTCCTGAAAATGCCAAAAACATGGCATATTTCTCTTTGAGAATGCCAACATTTTCATTGTTTTCTGCCATAAATATGGCATTCGTAATAAACTTGGCATTTTCCCCCCTGGTGACTGGAGGTGGTGGTGCAGAGGTGGCAGAGGCGGCAGTTTGTTTTTTTTGAGTTTTTAATTTTTTTAATTTTTTTTAATTTTTTTTGAAATCAATAAATAAATATATTATTATTTTCGAAATATTTTTATTAATTTCTTAGTATTTTTTACGAATTATTATTATTTTTTATTATTTTATTATGAATTAAAACTTTTAAATAGCTATAAGGATATATTTGTCCAAGACACACATAATTAGTTTTATGAAAACATAGTTTATTTTTTGGTCCAATTTGTGTAAAGTGAGTGACTTTTAGTCCTATTTTAATAATTAACCCAATAAGATTTACTCCGTATAGTTTTCTTGTGTGAGACAAATAATTAACGCATCCCTTAACATGAATCAGAATCAACAATATTGGGGTATTTAAATGGGCCAAACAAGGTTCTAACAAGTCACCCTTAACCATGAGTATCATTGTATCAATCAAACAGTCAAGCAACAATAGAAATTGACTCTGATATAATGTTGATTAGAAATTCAATCTTTTGGCTAACCTGATAATAGGATTACCTCAAAATCTAATTGAACAACCACAACTAACCGGATGAGAGAATACACATCACAATATCACATACACTAATGGGTACATAATAATCATAATAAGATAAAAAGGAAAGGACAAGGCGTACCCGCCCAAGTAGAACTCCTCTCCGAGAGCGACGGAGGCCACGATGGCGACAACGAGGGTCTGGACTGGCTGGTACACCGCCACGAACACCGGCCCGCCCTTGTCGATGCACCATATCTGTACAGCGAATGCAATCCCCGACGCTACCATTCCCTGCGTTATTCACTCCCCCGCATTAATTACGTACATCTCTTCCAACATTTGCCCCACATTCCCAAAATTATTGCCTCTTTTTTTTATAATTAAATAATAAATCCAAACCATGTTCCTTTTCCGCTATGATTAGTCCCATATTTAGTAGTTTTTTATACTCTAACACGGGTGCAGATCAGCTGTCCCATCGGAATGTTCCACTTCTAATTAAGTACGATTATCAAGTATTCATAATTAAACCTGTATATATGTAGGGTTTAAAAACAGTTATAAGAGTTGATAATTATGTTTAGCTAGCAAAGGTTTCGAATAATAATTCAATATATAAATGATGATGATTTGTATAAAATCAATGCATGTGGCTGGATAATTAAGTCGCGCACGCCGGACACCGAATGTCTAAGGCCGTTAATTAAACAATATAATTGAGTACACGTAAGAGTAGTTAAGAAGATAGATATATAAAATGTACGTATATCAAATGAAAGTAATTGACATGTCACGTGTATTACATACAAGTATAACTTATTTATTATATAATGATTATTTAACTCAATTTCAATAGACTTATATTAATGAGAATGTATAGTTAGACAAAATTGTCGCTTAAACTTTTTCAATATTTATTAGATTAACAATCATTAAATCGCAAAATAGGTACTTCGTATGATGTAATAGTATTAATTCATTAAAAAATAGTACTCTATCCGTCCAATAAATCTATGACCAAATTTGAGTGATACGTGAAATAATAAAATAAAAATTGTGTGATTGATATTTGTGCAAAAGTATAAAAAATATAATTTTAACTGCATACTACTCCGGTCATAAAAAACTTTGATATCTTATAAATTTTGGATCATCATTTTGATTAATATAATGTTATGAAAGTTATAAATTTGTACTTTTATGAAATTATTTTTAACAAAGAACGTTTTCGTATCGTTTTTATATTTCAAATAATTTTCAATAAAAATATATCACTGCAAAAAACTTAAGGGATTGACACAGAATTTGGCACGACCTTACCGATTTTTCGTCCCAAATAGCTCGTGCCAAAGTGTGTTTGGCACGAATTTGGCATTTTTCATGAATGTTTTAAAGATGACAAAGTTTTTTAGGCTTGAGGTAGTATTTTTTACTTTACATGAAAATGATAAAATTTTTTAGATGGCTAAATATATTTTTGAAAAGAATATACAATTTCATTTAAAAATCTAATCAACCCGAGCAAAATAAAAGTTTCTTACAGCATAGAAGACGCTAAAAAGCTCAGCGCCGGTGTTAATATGCCACCTTTGAGCGTCTCTTTCCCAGATAGCGCCGATGGCGAGGAACTGAAGAACCCCAAAGAAACACTGGTAGGACGTGACCGAGAGTCGGGCCGGGTACTTCTTCAGGACAGGGGCTTGCAGGACCAACCAACTGGCCCACGACAGGCAATGCCCAATAAGGAATATGCAGCCCAAAGTCCAGCTCTTCCCATTTCCGTCTCCGACGGCCGCTAGTCTTGCCGGAGCGAGCATCGGCAGCGACGACAGAGACAGCTTGGGTGTGGGGCTGTAAATGGTGGGGCCCTTGTACAGAGTGATCACTGTGGCCCCACATACACACATCAACGTTCCCACCACCTTCGATATCCCATCTTTTCTGTCCAGCCTCACCGTTTCTATCCTGCATTTTGTTTATTTGACCGGTGTGAGATAACTTAACACACAAAATATCCCGTAATTAATAAGGGCGGGACGATGACTTGCCTGAGAATGGTGGCCAAGATGAAAGTAATGGCCGGAACTGAGTTTTGAATAGCAGAGGCAAAAGTTGGGGAAGTGTGCTCTAGCCCCAGCAAGTAGAATCCTTGGTTTGCTGTTATTCTGTCATACGGCGTCGTATAATGATCACCCAAAATAGCAAAGTAAAAATGGCTAATATTGATCGATATATGACTCTAATAAAAGTATATTTGACTTTGCACCTCATTTTTTTTAAATATTACTAATGACCAAAAAATGTGGATTTGACTTTACTTCTCATTTTTGGGGGAAATATTGGTGATATATGACTAGAATAACGGGTGTTTAACTTTAATCTTATTTTTGGATGATATTAGATTTTCTATCTCATTTTCAGAATTATTAATGTGTATGCCTCATTTAATATACACTCATTTGGTTTTTGCATCATTTCCTTCCCAATTTTTGTCTCACAAAATGTTTACCCTCGTGATCATAAAAATATGATACAAAGTCTAATATAATCTACAAAGTTTGGTGAAAAGTCAAATTCTCGAAAGATAAAATGGAACTTTTTATACTTTGGAAACTCTAATAGTAATAGTAACTTTATTGATTATGTTTAAATTTTCAATGTATGTAATGATCGTGTCGATATAATTCAATAGTCACTTTGGTAACACTTTCAACCATAAAGTGTACTCCATATATTTCATAGGAGTAATATTTAACGAAAAATCTAGGAAAGTTAATTAATAAACACATATTAGAGTACATCTTAATACTTCTACTTTTGAGTCCACTTAATGAAATGAATATAATTATTGCCCTATTGGTAAAGAAACACATAAATACATACCCAACAATTGCCAGCAGGAAGAACTGAACAGCAAAGTTCCAGGTAAGGCGTGGTCGATTTTTCCTGATTTAAAAAAAACTATTATTATACTGAATTAAATAATAATGGGTAATAATTAGAATAAAAGCAAAAAAGCTGTTAACCAACCTTTCAAGAAAATAAGCAAAAGGGAGGAGGAGGAAGAAAGCGAGGATGTTCCTATAGATGGCGAAGACGACCTTGCTCATTCCCATGTTCAGGGCAGCTCTAGAGACGACGTGGAAACCGGCGTATCCGAATTGCAACGCCAACATCGCCACGTGCAGCTGAACCTTCTCCGGTATGGCGGCGAAACCCAATATTCTCTTCCCTGCCGCCGTGGCAGAACCGCTACTGTCCCCCATTATGTTACTGTTGTATAGGCAGAAGTGGTTTGTGAATAGATTTATGAGTAGGCAGTCTAAGATTGAGTATGGCTGGAGGAAGAGGAGAAATAATGTACAAAAAAAGGCTATAAGGCTATTATTAGAGATTAGAGATATGGGTGCCTGAAATGAGGAGAGTTAGGGAGGTATATATACACATTTCTAAAGATTAGGAGGTTAGCTGGTTAGGCTACTTAAGGAATTCTAACATTTTAGGTTCTGTTTGGATGCTGTCACCTAGAATCGAGTAATTAATTCAACCTAAGTCTTACTGAGAGAAATAAAATGAGTCCACAAATAGAAAGACATAGGAGCAGTGGACTAGAGGAGTACCATATTTTATTTTAAACATTTAAACACTTAAAAAACATTCTACTAAAAAATTACATAGCAATAATGTGTCATTTTTATTTGAATGGGAGTCGTCTATATACAAATTACCAAATCAAACGTATACAATAGATTTAAGACAACGCTAGCACGGATAACTGCGTTGATGGAGTATAATGTCATATACCGAGGCAAATACGTTGATGGTATCAGCTAGGGGTGGCCCGGTTCCGGTTCGGGCCTGGGCCTGGCCGGGCCTCGGTTCATGAAGGGGAGGCCCGGAACCGGCCCGGGTAACCCCCGGGTCCGGGCCGGGCCTCAGTTATGTTTTTTTTGGGTTTTCCTAGTTAACCCCCAACCCTCCCCCTCACCCCAAACCAACCCTAACCACCTCAAATGGCCCAAAATACCCAGCCCAACCCAAAAACTTAAAAAAAATCAAAAAACAAAAATTAATAATAAATTGGCCCGGCCCGGCCCCGAACCGGTCGGGCCGGTTCACCTTTTGAAGGGCCCGAGCCCGAACTGCCATCCCACCGGGCCAGGTGGTCCGAACCGGGCAACTAATCGGTTCACCGGGCCGGTCCGGGCCCGCACAGTAGCGGGCCGGTCCGGGTCCGCACAGTAGCGGGCCGGTCCGGTTTCGGGCCGGTTGGCCCAGCCCGAGTCCACTTCTAGTATCAGCGTTGCGCTAAGGAATCTTTGGAATCCACCAAGGCAAATTCGGCCGAGGCCGAACTCGAGACTAGCTCTCACATTATCAGGATAAGTTTGAAACTACAGTCGAGGTTGATCATCGACTGAGATTGGTAGCATTTCATGCACAATGGCCAAGCACAAGGCCCACTCCGATGTCATATACCCAAGATCAACAAAGAGATCCCCAATTACCGCATGGGCCGAGCTTCTTAGCCCCTAACCTTTACAATCACATCTCAGCTAGACATCCCCACACCTAAGTCGAGCATATATAAGCTTAGGACCTTGGGTACACATCGTGGACTTTGATATTTCAGCAATAATATTCCACCTGACACTACGACTACGTCATTTGGCGACAACTGTACAAGGGCTGACATCATTCATTATGTTGCACCAATCAACTTCCAGATTTACATGTGTGGCTTATCCAACAATTTTATTACACAAAGGACAAAAGCCTGTACAACAGTACCAATCAATCAATCAATCAAAATATTATCTCATAAATTAGCATTACATGTGGCATGTATTTAGTGGATCACTTATTTTACTTGTTCGCCAAAAGTATTTCCTTGTATAGCATAAATATCATATTCCAGATTATGGATAGAGATTCACATTCTAAATTTTCTAGCATACTATTACTCTGCCGAATTTCTGACTCAGCTCATACTTGTGATATTTTCCGACTCTCCCTCGGTTTTACTAGCCCTAGGTCGGTAAAGCCATCAAGCACAATTATTAGACTTGAATTCCACTACTCACAAATGAGTTACAAAAAACCCTAACCGTGTAAGGAGAAAATGAAAGATTAAATTGATCATGTTAATCTCTATATTCCTTACTTGGTATAAAAAATCTACGACCCTCTACTAGCAATAGAACAAATGAACAAAAATAATGAAGAATACACTGATATGTGAAACTCTAAAACTCATCCAAAGAAGAAAATGAATCACTAAAAAGTGAAACTATAAAAAAGGATAAAGACAAAAACAAATACAATAGAAACGAGCCATCAATGTTCAGCTAAGGAGCACCCTTGCGTGGTGCCATTGGACCTGCAGATCTATTCCACCTCCTTGGACAATAAAGGCATTTATTTCGAACTAAAACATATTAGTCTGAAAGAAATATATAATCACCCTTCCAATCAATGGCGGAGGTTTGAGAGAGGAGCATGCCATTGATACTGTCATAAATGGATCAAGAAGAATGACAACCTTGAGAAAAGTAGATTTTTGACTAGAGAAATGTCTTCAATAGCAATTGAAAAATAGTATGGCATCTTGTGCGGGCTCATTCGCATAGCTAGTTTGAGGGGAACTCACCCACAAAATACTTGTAAAAATTCACAACAGAAAAAAATTTAGACACACTAGACCGGGAATAAACCACCACTAATTACCGTTCATTAGTCCTCTAAATTAAACTACCTTTTCAGATTGTAATCATGCACATGATTGGGTTTTCCGATAACAAAACTTGGAATTCTTTATCGTCAAAACAAACCCTAGGTGAGAGAGAGCTCTCGCTAGGAATAGATGTCAAAACTAGCAAAATGTCATGTTTTAAAAAAGATAATGAAACTCTTGCTTTAAAATTCAGTTTCTTTTTGATAGTCTAAGGCAACAATTCGTTAACCCCACAAAGATATGTAGACTTCTCTATCAATGCATATTTCATTCGGACATTGTGTCACGCCCCAGACCTCACCGGACACGTCAACAATCCGCCGTACCAGAACGAATAGTCAACCGCAGTCCAACACATCCATACTATACAACGCGTCTTGAATATCATTCACACGTAGTACATCCATCAACAAACATAATGTAAAATATTCAATAAAGCAGCAGAAACAATATTACAAGTGTTCAAACCACACTTGACAAACTTAGGCATACAAGCCCCCAAATAATATATTAGAAAAACAATATCCATGAGCATTATTGTAATTGTTTTTAAAACATAAACGGAGGAAGCACGAACCACATCTTCCTTCCTAGACCCCCCTGAAGCAACGGGCACTAGTAGCAAGCTCAACTTCTACCTGAAACAGTGAAACAGTGAGGTGGCCTCCCCCGTGAAGGGGAGGTCAGTACTTTGAAGCATCTGAAAAGTACAATGACAACTACACTGAATATATTCAATGTTTCAATTCCTAAGACCCTCAAATAGAGTGATATCATAATATAATGATCATTCCTCTTCAACTCTTATTATCTTTATAATAAGTTAATTCATTAATTTATTGGCACGCATGCCTCATATATTTCATTTCATTCATCGTTCGCACGACACAACCCGTAGGTCTTATCAATTATACGGGACTTGTCACCACTGTCAGAGGCCTCATCGGGTCCTCGGGCCAGTGTCCAACATCCTGCCCTTAGACTCATGCCCATCATCCCGTAGGAAGGTAAGGTCCATTCGGGGTCCTATCTTAAGTGTTATCGTAGTCGGGAGTCTCGTAAGATCTTTGGTTCGGAATTCACTCCTACACGTGATCACGTTGCAAGTCCATGCTATCCAACCCCGCTCTCTAGAGCCGGGAAGGGCCACGGTCCTTACTTTCTTTACCATACTTAACCCGGCAATCCTCAAGGACTGCCGAAAACACCCGTAGGCCAATCCTATATTTAAGATCAATTCAAAAATCACTTTATCATGTGTAGCTTTTAAGGCCTACCCCTGGTATAACTTAGAGTTCATACAATTCTACCTTAAAGCATCTTTTAAGACTACTCTAGGTACAATATCTCACTTTAATTCTACCTTACACCTTAGGATCAATTCTAGCATAATCTCACTTTAATGCCCCGGCTAGTATCTTAATATTAGCTGGATTAAGTCGAACAAACCAAGTTCTCAATCCATGGTCACATAGACAATTCAAACTAATTTCTCCAACCCAAAATAAAATTTATCTCAATATACAAAATATCACTTTTCACATGCATATAATCTTTATATGAAGTGAAAGTATATTTTATCAAAGAGCACTCAAGTTGTCTCATCACCTTCTCCCATCATCTTCTCAAATTCAACTTAAGCTGTTTTTTGTGTTCGTTTTATTTTTGGTCCCACTTGCATGTGTGCGTGTGTAGTTTGTGTTGCAGGTACATCACAAATAAACGATGAGGAGGAATCCGGCGATAACCACCGGAAACCTCCCTCCCCGTCGACTATTAAAACAGTCACAACAGACATTCACCCTGGACCACCCTCTGAACCTTAAGCCTCCATAGTCGCAAAGCATGACCACTATAACCTTTTGAATTTCCATATCTGAAATATTAATCTCAGAACCAACATCCCAGCCAAATTCCTCTTTCCGAAATATTCCTTCATCCGAATTCCCATCCGAAATCTTAACTATCGGGCTCACGAAATCACCAACCCGAAATCCTCAATGAGATCTCCCGAAATCCTTCTATTTTACTAGGCCTCTGAAATCCTTAAGATGACTCGAATTCCCTAATTCCTCTGAGATCCCAAACCGAATTCATATCATTTGAAATCTTCCACCAGGGCTCCCGAAATCTTTTGAAAGGGCATCCAAAATCCCTCACCTGAATTCCTCCTATCAAAATTATCACCCGCGCACCTGATAACGATACACTTAGCCCATTGAGTCCTATAACCCACGAAGCCCAAGTCACTCAATCCCAATCATCCAAACCAAGCCCTATTCACGAACCCCAAAACCAATTTTTCTAATCTTACGTGCTTATTTGTGCAATTCAGGCAATTGCATTCTTATATGAGGAGGAAGTGTACCCAAAGGAGAGCTGGATAGATATTAAAGATAACAATCATGTGCTGGATCCTACCGTTTTCAAATGCCAAGATGAAGTGATGATTTCAATATTAAGAGGACATCCATTATGGCCAGCACTCACCCTTTGAGTCAAAGCCTCAAAAATCTATCTCCAACAGATTTGGGGAACCATGCACACAACTGATAATCTAATTCTCACTCTCAAAGCCAAACTAGCCAACACCACCATCACCATCACTCAAGATACCTTCCGCACCCTCCTCCACTTACCAAAAAGCTCTGAATACGACCCATTCCCTGAAAGCCACACAATCTTCTCTGGCATGCTAAAGATAG